TTCGGCCCTCCCTCCCTCTCTCCCTCCCCACTCTCTTTCGTTTATTTCCCTTTGTTCTCCCTTAATCCTTACTGAATTTGAACAGTATTAGGAGCATAATAAGATATACCATCTCTCTGTGTCTCTGTGTCTCCCTCTCTCTATTTTCCCTTCTCCTCTGTCATATACTTACCTATATGCTTCCACACTCCCCCTTTCCCCCTCCTCCTTATGATCCTACAATAATGATAATCACATTACTTTGCGTAGCATTCAATACTTCTAAAAAGTGCTTTATATCATGATTAATTTCTCCTTTCTCTCCTCAGTCTCCCCCAACTTCTCCCTCGGTCTCCGTCCCTCAGCCCCCCCCCCCCCCAACTCTCTCTCTCTCTCTCTCTCTCTCTCTTTCTCTTTCTCCCCTCTCTCCCTCTCTCCCTCTCTCTCCCCCTCTCCCTCTCTCTCCCTCCCTTTCTCTGTCTTTTTCTCTCTCTATGTCGGAATCGAATTGAACTAAATTGGAAAAATAATTATAACAGGGAACCACCCATTTTTGGGATATACCGCGTGACAGGAACTCGAGCTTCGTTGTCGAGGACATTCACTGCTAGATACACCCTAAACAAAAAGAAATGTTCATTCAATGGGGAATTCCACCCCTGTCTGATTGAAAGTAAGAAAGTTATGAAATTGTTAAGGTTGAAACTAATCAAACGCAAAATGGCAACTCCTGCACGACGTACCCTTTTCGAGCTTATACAGTTTGCTTTTGTACAGAAATGTAATGAAGGTTTAGATATATTCCAAAGGGGATATTCAAATTAAATTTCCTCAGAGCAGATCAAAGTGGAAGGTAGTCCTGGGAAGGTATGTCACAGAGTTGCCAGTTCACCAAATGTAATCGAAAATTACCAGATTCAAATTTTGAGTCCAATATACACAATAAATTGTATATATATATATTTTTTTTTTTTTTTTTTTTAATTTTCGGGGGGGGGGGGGGGGGAGAAAAAAACCCAATGTTTTGCCTAACTATGATCATCGGAATTTGTCATTTTCCAACGAATGCATGAATAGTATAATTTACAAAGAAGTGAGAACCTCCCCCCCCCCCCCCCCCCTCCCCCGGAAAATCATGCATTCGTTTCAGCAACATTTGTAAATCATAGGTATCGAATTAGAAATAAACATTTTAATTTTATTGGAGGGGGCAACCACCCCAAAGCCCCCTCACCCTCCATCAGTACGCCAGTGCTATCATTATTTTTTTTTGTATCGATAATGATGGTTGCACCCAAACCTGAACAATGACAAATTCTCTGTTTTGTGAAGTGCTGGAAGTATGAACGTGGATGAGATAGAACTATACAGTGTGACCCAAAACGAACACAATGCCTGAGTTCTGAAATTACAATGACATCACAAACACACAGCTGATTGTATGGAAGCCGTAATGCACAAATTTCTCACTGCTTCGCAAAAGAAACAAATTTAATTTTGAAAATGACATTGCCAGTAAGGCACTGCATGCAACTAGACGATGAGGTGAACTAAGGCGATCTTTTGGAGTTCATTAATCCCCGGTGCGATCTTATTAGCGTTGGCGTTTAATTTTAGCCGTTTTTTGTTGTTGATGGATCGCTGTTATTAAAGAGACTTTATTTCTTCAACAGAACATTGACTGGTGGATCTCGTCTAGTTTGAGGTTAGATGAACTTACCAACGAACACATGACTGTAATCTCCTGTTATACCATTGTATTTCCTTCTGTAAAACATTGAGCTCTTTTGATATGTTATGATCACGAAGACAAGACATGATCCAGTTACTATAAGAGTCAACTAGAGTACAATACTGATCGACTTCCTCAATGTTTCGTTTCAAAAGTAAATGAAGTGGAATATGTTCATCAAAAACGTGTTAAAAGTGTAACCATGAAAAACTGTAGGTCTACATGGTTTAACTACAAGTAGAACCCCACTGGGAAGTTTCTTGATCTGTCGTAATTATCCCAAGTCTTAAAGGTAATACAAAGTTTTGATATGGGGTCATGAATTTGGTTCAAATGATTATTAGAAGCATATGCGATCCTACAATATTCAGTGATCATTGTCGCGGTCGAAATCAAGTCTAAAATTATGAAATTGTACATAGTAAACTCTTTATGTTGTATAGCACACTCTCAAGGTCAAGATATTAATAACACTATAAAACGATGATTCTTGACTAAAATAGACCGATTAGCTATTCCCGTTTGGTAATTATATATCACAACTACATATTCTGAAATGTTCATAGTCGCAGCTACCATTGTACGGCCGTATGCGCTATTTGAAATTTATCACAATTTACCGGGAGCACCGGTAAATTTTTATATTTGATTTTTCTCGAAAGCAGAAGTGTTTTACGGGCTATATTTTCTAGTGCTTAAAATACATCCACAGGGGCATCCAAATATATCAAAATTGGAAAGAATCACTATACACCCAATTTTCAAAATTCGCCAAAACTTTGTAATACCTTTAAAGTTATTTACTATACCACTAAAACGCTTATTAATAATTCTATGACACATGTTTCAGTAGGGTATCTGAGAACTTGGACTTCGGAAGTTTTAAGACTGGTCCCAGGTTCTGAAAGTCACATATAGTAGTCAGAGTCCATGTGTATATTGCACCATAATTCGCTGACACCAGATTCGGTTGAATTATCAATTACTATTTGCATATAGGTCTCTCAGGCAGCGAACCCGTTGTCTCATCAGAAAATACTCCAGCTTGCCTTCATAATAATTATCTCGAGGGAAATGTTATTAATATGATCAGAATTACTTATGGCGGTACGTTAAGGGCATTGTGCATTTGATATGCCCGTCTATAAATTGAAGTCCACTCTTAGTGATTGAAACGCCTTTTGTTCCGATATTTTTTTCTGACTTGAACTTTTCGATTACAGATCGATCAATCGACCTTATTTACTGGGTGTAAGCCACAGATATGTTTAATTCTTATTGTTTTTTAAAAAGCAACAACATTTTGTGCGCTCGCTTCGCTCTCTCGCTAAGAATCCACTAACAAGAATCTCTGATGCTCCTATTTATACGACAAAATCAATAGAAGTGAAGTGAAGCGCGAAGAGGTATAAAGAACAGGCACTTTCCATCGCTCTTGAATCGTCCTTTATGATGCTCACTGGCCCGCCATCTTTATACATGATGCTCACTAGCCCGCCATCTTTATACATGATGCTTACTGGCCCGCCAGCGCATATTTTTGCAACTGTTTAGCCATTTTCGCGAAAAAATTCCTAGAAGTGCTCTGGTAAAAGAGTCTAATTCGTCAGTGCACTATACATGTATAGCACGTACATTTAGGGAAGGGAAGATGATAGAAAAGGAAAAACAAGGATAGCGGAGAGGATGTGGAAAAGGAAAAACAAGAAAATACACAAGGAAAGAAAAGAGGATTGTGGATTCGTATAGACTAAGGAAAAACAAAGAATATAAAGAAGGAGAAAAGCATAGGCCTATAGATTGAAGGAACAACTAAGAAATAGATGACGAAGGAGAAAAGAATAGATTTAACGAGAAACAAAGACATAACGAGTATGTACACATGAACAGCTCCAGCAATCCAAAAATACTGAAGGGTAATGTTAGACTCTATCGAGTCGTTTGCACAGTTTATTTGACTGAACTGGCTAAACAGTAATTGTGTAAAAAAAATATATGTGCGGCCCGCCATCTTTATACAGTCATGATGCTTACTGGCCCGCCATCTTTAGACGTCAGTGTACTTGTCGTTGTCATGGTGTAACCTCATTGGAATCTTCATGCTGTGTTTCATCTAAATAAAATGTATGCTCTATCTCCCGATAATGTGTCATAATACCTCACGATTTACCTTCTATACTCAATACACACCATTATTTTAAATATAAGTATGGCCAGTCTGACTAGTTGAGAACATTTGAACTAGGAGAGTATGTATCAAAGGTCAATCTATTCCTTTAAAAACATACTAACAAATTGGTTTCGTGATATAAATATCAATGACTCACCATGGTTATGCATGGTGCGTCTGATGTACTGTGTTAATGAATGGTTTCATGATATGGGTTATAACATAATTTTGAAAGATGATGCATTCAAAACTTTGTAACCAATAAATGATCCATTTCGTAGTTGTGATCGCGACTATATTATGTTGAGCCACCCATCACATAAAACGAATGTTATAAAATTGCCGATTTCACACACCAACGACACACAGAGATCGGTCTGATATTTAAACTTTTCCATGACAATAACGTGAACTTAATGAGTGTCTGCTGCTGCTACATACACAATAGATTGTAGACATACGTGTATTAGGCCAACAATAACATACTCTTTAACCGCCCTTGGATATAAACCTTCTCTTGAACCTTCTAAGGAAACAATGTGACCAAAAATACTCCATTCGGACAATATTTTGATAATAATTCATATGTTTTTAAAACATTCGATTATTTTGTCTGCATGTTGTCCATGTTTAAATCTCTTTTATATGGTAATTAGTTCAAATTTTCGTTCGAACGTTTTTCATATTCGGATCACTTGTCAGTCTCATGCTCGATTTTAGTTTGAATGTTCTTAGCATCAGTCTTTTGGTCGACTTATTTTATTTTATAAAAGAAACATTTCAAACACATAGAGCGGATAATCCCCTTCGGATGGGTCCACGAAATGTTTAACAATACTACTTTGAATATCCTTAGCGGCGGTCTCTTGTTCGATTTGTAGTGCGCATGTTCAACATTTCAGTTTGCATGTTCTTAATGTTAGTCTCTTGTTTGGCTTGTAGTTCAAGTATTAATCTGAACCTACAAGTCTGTTGTTTTAGTGTTGATTTGAATTTTATTAATTCCAGGTTATGATACAAAAATTAGTGATATAGTAAAACTTTAATCATAGTACAACAAAAAACAGATCGACGTTGACATATTATTGTTCAACAAGAACTGTCTCTCTTATAGGCTTCCTGTTTGATACAGACCGGAAGTATGGTTTGTAGTTTTGTAGTTCACAGACAAAGGCTTTATAATTCTAAACATTAACATTCTGTTCATAGCAGTTCTAGCATCCACTCATCTGGGAATGCTTGTAAGCTCCATCTATCACGAGAATATTTGTCCTCAAGTTCATTTGAGAAGCAACATCATCAGTGCAAATACACGAATGCAGCATTCGCGTTAATGCCTGGAAGGAATTGTACATAGGTTTGTCACGCTGACACGAGTCTTAAAGATTTTGAAGATTTGAAGAAACATACCTCTATCGAGATCGAGATGAAGTTTGATGCTATCTTGGGTGAGATAGGAGAGTTTGGTCTCTATCAGAAGTTGGTCTACTATGCTCTATGTATTAATGGCGCCACTGTAGCTTGTCACATGCTAGCTCAAGTCTTCTTGGCCGGTCACATGTCACATTCATGTAAGGTATGCTTATCACATCTCATCTTATACTGTATACTCATATCTATGCGCAGTGATTGATTTAGTGATTATTGATAAAATGTATAAGTTGGAAAAAGTCATACATAGTGATATTTACTCTGTATAGAGGTATCAATAAAGATGCAAATGCTGTGCTGGAAAACGATGTTTTGTATTCATCATATCCTCCAGTCAAACTTTGTCATTTTCTTAGAACACTTTATTATATTAATAATTATATGATGTAAATAGTCGCGTTAATGCGATAAAGTCCATGGGCCTACTGTAATTCAGTGCTTATGATGCAACAAATGACACCTTTTCTACACATTGTTCGAAGATATAAGTATGGAAAAAACCTTCTCAATCTGAAGTATAATTTATTTTATGGAGGGGGAATCGATTGACATGATACTTGGTATATTATTTATTTATAATCTGATTTATATTGGTCATTTTATATCGCCATTGGTATCGTTTTTTACGAGGAGGTGTCGTTGTATAGTGGTTATTGGTTAATGGATTTGACTCTCCATATAAGGGTTGAGGGTTCGAATCCCAGTCCGGCTCTAACTTCCCTTGACAAGACGTTAATTTATACATAATGCCATGCAGTGTTCACCCGGGTGTAAATAGGTACCTGTCAACTGTTTGGGTAATCCTGATTGCAGGGCCCTCAGGAAGGGCCTTACTGATGAGGCTACCCTGTGTATATAAGACTCAAGAGAACACCTGACCGTATACGGTTAGAAAAAAACAGATTTAGCTGCCTGGTCGAAATCTCACAAAATGTCGATTATTTTGTTCAACAAATTAGAACCTTAATTTGGAGTTTTATTTCGCAAACCATTTAATTCATGAGATCACACAAGATATAACCGATGCTGGATACATCCTTATGAGGCCAACATTCATTTCTTGAAAATACAGGCATTGCATTCCAGAATGAGCTTAGTATGGGTTGTAAATTTTATACTGCAACTGTTGTATCTATTTTTTAAATCATTATTATATTTGTCTTAAACAGAACTAGTTATAATTTGACCCGTTCTACTTCGATCACCGCATCGTGCATTGCGCAATAACAAAGCAATAATGACGTCAAAATGTCATCACAAAAACAGCTCACCCATCCATTTATTTATTCATTCATCCATTCAACAATCAATTCCTTCATTCGTTCATTCATTCATTCATTCATTCATTCATTCACTCCTTCACTAAATCATTGATTCGTTCGCTCCTTCACTCATCCATTCATTCATTCGTTCGTTCATTCTTTCATTCTGATCCATTCGTCCATTCATCCTAATTTATACCTTCACTCATTCATTCATTCTTTCATTCTTTCTTTCCATCGTCCATTCATTCTTTCATCCTGATCCATTCGTTCATTCATTCATTCCTTCGCTCATTCCTTCATTCATTCATCCATTCATTCATTCTTTCATTCTGATCCATTCGTTCATTCATTTATTCCTTCGCTCATTCCTTCATTCATTTCTTCATTCATTCATACTTTTATTCATTCATTAATTCATTCACTCATTCATTCATTCGTTCATTCATTCATTCATGCATCCTTTCATTCTGATCCATTCGTTCATTCATTTATTCCTTCGCTTATTCCTTCGCTCATTCCCTCCTTCATTACTTCATTCATTCATGCATTCATTCATGCATTCGTTCATTCATTCCTTCATTACTTCATTCATTCGTTCATTCATTCATTCATTACTTCATTCATTCATGCATTCATTCATTCATTCATTCCTTCATTCATTCCTTCATTACTTCATTCATTCGTTCATTCATTCCTTCATTACTTCATTCATTCATGCATTCATTCATTCATTCGTTCATTCATTCCTTCATTACTTCATTCATTCGTTCATTCATTCATTCTGATCCATTCGTTCATTCATTCATTCACTCACTCATTTATTCCTTCATTCCTTCATTACTTCATTCATTCATGCATTCATTCATTCATTCGTTCGTTCATTCCTTCATTACTTCATTGATTTATTTATTCGTTCATTCATTCATTCTGATCCATTCGTTCATTCATTCATTCATTCACTCATCCATTCATTCATTCCTTCATTACTTCATTCATTCATGCATGCATTCATTCATTCGTTCATTCATTCCTTCATTACTTCATTCATTCATGCATTCATTCATGCATTCATTCATTAATTCTGATCCATTCGTTCATTTATTTATTCCTTCTCTCATTCCTTCCTTAATTCATTCATTCACCCAGTCCTTCATTCATTCCTTCAATCATTCATGTATTCATTCCTTCCTTCCTTTATTCATTCATGCATTCATTCGTTCATTCATTCATTCATGCATTCATTCATTCATTCGTTTATTCATTCATTCTGATCCATTCGTTCATTCATTCATTCATTCACTCATTCATTCATTCCTTCATTACTTCATTCATTCATGCATTCATTCATGCATTCATTCATTCATTCGTTCATTTATTCTTTCATTTTGTTCACTAATTTATTCTGATCTATTCGTTCATTCATACATTCGTTCATTCATTCATTCATTCTGATCCATTCGTTCATTTATTTATTCCTTCGCTCATTCATTCATTCGTTCATTCATTCCTTCATTACTTCATTCATTCGTTCATTCATTCATGCATTCATTCATGCATTCATTTGTTCATTCTTTCATTTCGTTCATTCATTCATTCTGATCCATTCGTTCATTCATTCATTCCTTTATTCATTCTGATCCATTCGTTCATTTATTAATTCCTTCACTCTTTCATTCATTTATTCATTCACTCACTCCTTTATTCCTTCATTCCTTTACTCATTCATTCTTAACAGGTACATTGCCCTGTAGTTTGAACGAGTAAAGTTTACATACAATTTTATGATCAAAACAAAGTTCAGCTTGTCAAGTAAAGGATGTCGACAGAAACGAGAAGTGAACTTGTTTGGAAAAGGAAGACCTTTTGTTTTGTTACGCACTCTTTTTGCCTACCGAAAATGGTATTTCAATCATGCCTGGAATAAAGTCTTCCTCCCCTTTAATCTGTGTTTCCCCTCTCGAATGATTAAGCAACAACAACCAGAAAATCCCGTTAATAAGATATGAACAGTTTCAAAAGATCAATCAACCAGTTAGAATATGTTGTGAATGAGCATTATTTATCTAATAGAAATGAAAAAGGCATTCTTTGTTTTACATCAGGTCAAAAGGTCTATTGAGTTAATTATTATTAATTTTATACTATTTTTGTTTTAACCCAGGATTTCGTCTCCATATATATCATATCAATAAATTTTATGAATGAGACGGATTTACATTTTTAGTATAAAGCATTCCATGCATGGACTTTTACGATATAAAATGCAGCTAGTCGGCCTATGTACTAATAAGAGAACCAAAGCTGCGACGTCATAACACAATTATTTCTAGAATTTCTCAATTTGAACTGATCATTTTTCCGAAAGAGCATAACAAAATAATGTCCAAATGTCGAAAACCAATTGCATAATATGTTAAGTATTGGCTGAGATATGACCATCCGAATAAATATATTTTAATAGAAAATCACTTTATTTTGCTCTGGTACGTAATGTAATGAACCAGAGCAAAATAATAGTGATTTCCTATTGAAATATATTTATTCGGATGGTCATATCTCAGCCAATACTTGACACATTCAATTGGTTTTCAATGCATTTGGACATAACTTTTGATGCTCTTTCGGAAAATAAACTTCAAATCTTGAAACTCTAAATATAGTTTTTGATGACGTCACACTAATGACCACTCTATAACATTGTTTATTGAGAAAGTAGTCTAGATGTCGGTCTACAATAGCCGATTGTTCTCAGGCACAATAGATGTTTGACCTAGCTATAGCTTGTTTCAACTATAATGACTGCATATAATATTATTTTAACCTGATACGATTGTGAAAAAAACAGGGTGGATGTGATGGTAAAACCATTAACTAGTCACATCTCTGTTCTGCTCAGTCATCTAAAGAACAGCTGAACTCTTGTATCGGGTTTACCGCTGGTTAGCATTCATATCAAATCGTTGAAATCATGTTGCTATTCTAACCTTCAGTGTATTTCCAGACATTTCTCCAAATTAATGATTAATGTAAATTTACTGCCAATGAATTTGAATTTTGACCACTTGAGTATTCTAGCTCCCATATATCTGAGTGAATATAATATATGCAATTGTTCTGCGTTCAATTATTTCAATTACTTCACTCACATGTGTCCCTCTTCTTCTATTACTGTATTGTATTTTAATATAATTTGTAAAGGTCTTCTGTAAGTTCTATATGCGTGCACCCTTTTTCATTTTTGATATTTCACTTTCGGAAAATTAACGCTCGGAATTATTAACGTTCGGAATTTGACCTAGGAATCTTCGGAAATACAGACCTTCGGTATAATGAACCTTTGGAATACAAACCTTCGAAAAAAAACGACATAATATAAATGGAAGTGAGAGGGAGGGGCCTACGAATGATGTACATTTGATTGGTCCATGACTGACACAAGGAGAAATCATGTGAGAGATGAAAGGAGGCTATAGGGCATAAACAGTGACCTCTAATGTAGACTTGGTATAAACATATTTTAACACAAAGCCATTTACGGCTACGAAAGACAAATAAACAAATATTGCTTTAGAACGTAAAACCTTAGGTTTATCTCAAATTTCATTACTTGAGCAAATTGTACAGCAAAATCAAGGATTGATGAAACTAATACAAATATATAATGTATATTTGTGCTCGGTAGCCTCATCAAAATACGCCTATCTTTATGTTCCAGTATAGAAAGAGTAGGTAACACTGCATAATTATGGTTTTCTTTTCAACTATTGGATTGAAGGATTCGAAGTACATGTTGACCTGAATTTCCGAACTTTACCTTTATTATGAGTTATTAGGGTCTTAAAAGAGAAAGATCGAACAAGAGCGAGAGAGAGAGAGAGAGAGAGAGAGAACAGAGAGTGTGAGATGTGATAGAGAGAGAAAGGGATAGAGAGAGAGAGAGAGAAAGAGAGAGAGAGAGAGAGAGAGATAGGGGAAGGGATAGAGAAAGGGAGGGAGAGAGAGAGAGATATATATATATCATTTAGTTTCATTCTGCATTATTCAATAAATCTATATTTGAAAAAAAACATGACAAAAGTTATATTTTGCAATTAAGCACCCATTTTTTTTCTTCCAGTAATAGATTTCCGAGTACAATTTATGAGAGAACAATGATAGAAGAGTAAATATCTCTGAATCATGTTAAGAAGAAGAATGTGAGTGTCTGGAGTTGATTACGATGCTCAACAGGGGCTGGTTTCTATATTACAGATATGGCCTACATGGTAAATATCACAAATGTTTGTGTTTCCCTGAACTCGAGAGGGAGCTAGGTTACTACATCCAAAATGCAAAATACTTGGCAAGACATTAATCCACAATGCCGCTCTTTAAACAAGATAGAAATGGGGACCTGGTAGGATGACGAAACCCTTCCTGATAGAAATTCCCAAATCCCCCACGGTGACTGACCATAAGTATGGTAGGAATGAATCCTAGGAAAGAATTCTACTCATTTTCAACGCTTTGGAACAAAACTAAAATGTCAGAAAAATGCTAGAGTTTTATATCCCGCTTAGTCGGTTTGTCCACGTAATACGTTGTTTAAATACCTGGGTCCATATTCATAAAAAATAATTACAAAGGCTAGGGTACATTATTAGTTGACAAGTAATATTCTTATAGTAAGGTTTTATTAATATAGGTACACTGTCTTTGGGTGAACTTATCGTAAAAAAGTAGTCTTTCCTGTAGTGTTAGAACTGGTACCCCATGCGTTTTTCAATAATTATTGTTAAAGATGTTTTACATAATTATGAATTCATAGCAGAATTGACCTCTATTCGTAATTATGATAGAATGATAGATGCCAATATGGTAATACCACACTCATACGACATGGTGTGTAAGTGACCCAACCCACTTGCATAGTTAACTTCCGGTTCCTTTCTGATTTTCAGCATTTATTTATTTTTTCAAAATTGACTTTATTTATGTCCTTTATCCCATTGTCTATTCTTGTTGATTATTCTAGGTGTCAGCATGGGACAATGAGGATTGTAGTAGATGGGACTACACGGCAGAACAATGCATGGAAGCCAAACATAACGCTAGTGTACCCTTCAACTACACAAAAGAAGATAACATGTTCCAGTGTTATAAGTATGGTATCGTCGATGAGCTGGACTTCCACCCTGGTCTAGATCCTGAGAATTACAATAACACTGATCTCATACGATGTAATCAAGGATGGGTCTACGATAAATCCCAATACAAGTCTTCCATCATTTCAGAGGTAACTGCAATAGTCTATCTTTGTATAATAATAGCTACATGTATACTGCTCACATTATCCATTCCCAGGGAGACTCAGATCAAGCGCCTACAAAGTAGACTATACTACTCACCTTGGCTTTATCATAGATGTCACTGTGTGCCTAAGACAATATTGATACTGATGTGGCTACCCTGGGTAAATAAAACCAAGTTATTAAAGACTTTAAGCTCCACATGAATAAACAGGTTCCTATAGCATTCCTCCACCCCCCCCCCCTCGATCAAACCCAAATATTCGAATATAAAATGTACATATTCCATGTAGAATATTTGATCCCCTGACGGGAGAAGCGAAATCATATCCCCGAGGCAAGATGAAAGGAATCAATTCAAAATTCCCTGCTTTTTTTTTTGGGGGGGCGGTGTTTTTGCTTCGATAATGTTTCACCGAATGAAAAGCATATAGTTGCGAATGGAATAAATACATAAATGAATGAAGATCAAATGAAAGAATATACGATCATATTTAGTCGTATTTTATTTTTCTATTTCAGTTTGACTTGGTATGCAGTCATAAAGATCGTGATAGTCTAGCACAATCGCTCTTCTTTGTTGGTGTTCTGATCGGTTCTGTGGTGTTTGGAGGTCTCTCTGATATGTAAGTCTATCGGTATCTAACTGCTCAATTCTAAGCATATCACAATGAAATTTCTAGAGAATTCTCGATTTTGAAAAAGAATATTATAGATGTTTCAATTAAAATCTAAAAATATGGATATGATAGATAAATTTATAATTATGATGTACTAACACAACAGTTTAATCACCAATCATTAAAATCATAAAATATCGATTCCGTTACGAATCCATATAAGATTCATTATTTCATAAATTTGATGAAAGATTGATAGGAAACTTAAACGTGAAAGAACCTCGTATTAGTTAACATGTTACTATTAGTGTGTAGAGTTTTATTTAAGTGTCTATAATATTATTCGTCAAAATTTAACATTTTGTGAAAATGTAATTCCGTAACGTTTGGAACTGACCAAGAGAATTGGAAACAATGTCTCTTTGATGATGTTTGAAGATTTGCATGGTGGTATGAACAATCGCGGAAGAGATTTACGGTACACCATGTGTAAAGTCCTGAAGACGGACAGTCAACCTGTCCGAAACGTCGAGTCTACTCTCCTGCTCCTGCTCTGCAACTCTACTCGCCGACTCAAGCCAGCTTCTCTCATCTACTCAACTCTCCAACTCAATCCAGTCTTCTACTCAAACCTCTCATCCTGTCTACAACTTTCTGGTTTACAGTCCTTTTCAGGACTATACTCACTTCCGAAAGATACTCTTCCTTCCAACCTCCACTTTCTCGCCTTTCCATTTCACTTCTATTTCTATCCAATTTCCTTAGTCCTTCTCGGACTTTACACATGGTGTACCGTAAACCTCTTCCGCGAATGTCTCTTTGATATGTAAATATCGATGATCGTATTAATGTGCCTGTCATAGTACACGTTCTCTCCGTCATCATCAATTTATCTCATTCCGCCTTTTAACATATCATTCTATTTCATTCACTTAACACAATCTCTATTATAACAATGGAGTTGTGTTTCATGAAAGCAGGCTAAAATTCATTCATTCCTAGTCGATCAAAATGCTTCATACCTTATAAGATTACCCTTTTGAAAGCTATAAACTAATTCATGAAAATGCTTCATACTATTTCATTGTTACAAATGATTATATCTTGAAGTGGAAAATTTCTTTAATTATGATAAGATCTTACTAAAATGAAGGAGGTAAGCTTCATTTTGTAACATCTATTAAATAATTAAATATCAGGGATACCGCGCTTGCATTATGAGTTGACAATCTGAAGGAATTTTCGCCATCTTGTTTGTTTGTTTGTTTGTTTTATTCACCATGTAAAATAACTGTTTACAGATAATAAAATTCGGTTACAATATATAATAATAATACATAGTAGGAACAATGCATAAACATAAAATGTTTGAAGCGCAACGTCCCTAAGATAATAGCTGGTAATTATTAGATTTAAATAAAAATCTGTTGGCAAGTGCATGAAACTTTAAGAAATTCATTTTCTTAGAGAACGAATACGTTTTTGTTGATTCAGGTAATATTTTCAGAGTGAATTATTGTTCCACATACTATAAGAAAGAAAATTGTGAAGTACATACATTGCAATAGCAAGGAAAAGATTTTTATGTTAAAAAAGGACCTCGAGGATTGATATTTGATTGGACTAAACCAAAAAGATAGTTTCTCAAGATTTGTATTAATGTGATAAAAAATATTTTAAAAACGTGTTTGTTGTCTTTTTTAGATACGGACGTCGCAAGATTCTTTTCGTGGCATTATTGGTGCAGAGTGTAAGCGGTCTAGCTATCGCCTTCTCACCTAGCTACTGGTTCTATACCATATTCCGTATGATCTTGGCTTCAGCTAACATGGGGGTCTTTCTTCTCTCATTCATCATTGGTATGAACAAGCTTTCATTCGCAGTAATATTCCAGTCATACTTAAGAGACCTACTCCAGACCTATACACCAGACCGACACAAGATTCTGATCCAAAAGATATTTATTTCCTTCTCGTATGTAGAAAATGTTAATCAATGTTTATTACAACAGGAGTAGGACGAGGCAAAACCCGACAACAACTCTTCCCCCCATATTTAATGTTATGCCCCAATAACCATTATGGTATGAATACACCATACAGGAATGGAGAGGGCGCACTGTATGTTGTCTTAATGTCCAAGATTGAGACTACATCTGGTTTGTTACGGCGGTGTACGACTTTAAAAACCAGCAACGTAAGACCTGCAAACAAAAAAAGCGAGGGGTTCAGGAATTCGCATTTGAAAAGAAGAAGAAGAAGAAGCAGAAAAAGAAGAAGAAGAAGAAGAAGAAGAAGAAGAAGAAGAAGAAGAAGAAGAAGAAGAAGAAGAAGAAGAAGAAGAAGAAGAAGAGGAAGAAGAAGAAGAGGAAGAAGAAGAAGAAGAAGAAGAAGAAGAAGAAGAAGAAGAAAAAGCAGAAGCAGAAGCTAAAGAAGAAGAAGAAGAAGAAGAAGAAGAAGAAGAAGAAGAAGAAGAAGAAGAAGAAGAAGAAGAAGAAGAAGAAGAAGAAGAAGAAGAAGAAGAAGAAGAAGAAGAAGAAGAAGAAGAAGAAGGAAAAAAAAGAAAAAGAAGAAGAAGAAGAGGAAGAGGAAGAGGAAGAGGAAGAAGAAGAGGAAGAAGAAGAAGAAGAAGAAGAAGAAGAAGAAAAGAAGAAGAAGATGATGGGAGTGTGGTGGTCGAGTGGTTTAAGGCGCTTGACTGGAGATGCGAAGGTCGAGGGTTCGAATCTCGACTCTTAATCCTTATCTGAGTTTAGTTTCGCCCCCTCCCGCTCAAAGCGCGAAAGCTCCGACGTTTCATTAAATTATTAAAGAAAGAAGACGATTCGTTGTACCGTTCTCGACTCTTAATCCTTGTCTAAATTCAGTTTCCCCCTCTCTCGCAAAGCGCGGAAGCTTTGACGTTCCATACATTTTTAGAGAAAGAAGACGATTCGTTGTACCGTTCTCGACCGTTCTCGTTTTCTTCCTATGTCCTCTTCCTTTATTTGTTGGGCCGGCGTTTTGGTGGGAGCGATCGCGCCTGCTACTTTCAGATCCATTATCGTGGCTAATTTACTTCTGATTGATATTATGATAAAATGTTATTCCCAAGGTTCTCATGAATACAAATAAAATACAAAATTTAATTTATATTTGAGTAAATAGAGCATATTATTCTAAGAACCAAATGAAATAACTCTTCCCTGATCATGGTTTCCAATCTGCTGAAGATTTCTGTGTGAAGGCAGGCACATAAATATTACATTTAATAATTTAGGCCTAAATAGGGAAATTACCGTATTTTCCCTGTAGATCTGCCAACTAAAGTAATTACTTTTTGGGGGAGGACAGTGTTTTATTTTGATTGATGATGGCTTTATGATTATATTTCATGTTCTGTATTTTTACTTCTACAGGAACGGAGTTTGTAGGTCCAAGTAAACGGGTGATAGCCGGTATCGTCATCATGATTTTTTTCTCCATTGGATACATGCTACTTGCTCTCTTCGCCTATTTCATTCGTGAATGGTGGATTTTACAGTTAGCCATCACCGCACCTATCTTCATCATGTTTGCTTTCTTCCCGTAAGTTTGAGACGTTAGAGCTTCAGTTTGGCATTAGGTCTCAGGCATAAGTCTTATGCCTATACATATTACCTATAGACCAATCAAATATCATAATCATAATTGATATAGTATACGCTTAGGCCTATATACGTCTAGGAATAGAATGTACAATAAGCAGGCCGAACAAGGGAGAAGAGGGAGAAGAGAAACGGTAGAGAGAGAGAGAGAGAGAGAGAGAGAGAGAAGAGCTATAGGGGGGGGGGGTAGACGCGAAATTGTTCCCAGAATTTGCTCCAATTCCTCCTGACTGAGGTTCCACGAATTATTATCCATCGCGTTGCTTTATAAAGTCATTTTCTTTCGGACATTTTAAGACAATGGAGGTATTTATTTGTTTATTTTATTATCATTATTTATATTACTATATGTTGTTTGTTATTATCACTATTTTTATGATATCATTATTATTATATTATTATTACTATTATTATTATTATTATTATTATTATTATTATTATTAGTGATATTATTATCATTCTCATTATTAACGCAGTAGTAATTTTGATCAGGTTTCTTCCAGAGTCTGTTCGTTGGTTGATCAGTAAGGGTCGTACTGAGGAAGCTACTAGGATCATTAAGAAAGCAGCTGATGTGAACAAAGCTAAGCTACCTGAACCCATCTTCACCCCAGAAGATATCAAAGAACAGGTAACCAACACTATGAAGCGGTATGAACCGCGGCAGTTTCTTTTTTATAACGGGTACACAAATGGCAAGTGAACACACAAAAGTCCTTCACGCATTCACTGAGCTATGTGTTATAAGATACAGAGATGTAAAACGTACTACACTTTCGTCATCATAAAACAAGAAGGTAAAAAAAGAAGGACACAAAATCCCACCGTGGGTTACCGCGTCATACATGGCTTTATTGTAACAGCACGTGTTTCAGAGACCGTATCCACACGTCATTTTTCTACACGTCCATTATCTCGAAAATAAAAAAAGGGTTTATTATTCCGAAGATAAAATAAGATTCGTAATATAATAAAATTGTTATAAGGTTCATAATTCTGAGAAGAAAATGATACAAATTAAATGTCTTTCATTCTGAAAATTAGAAAGGGTTCATACGTCCGAAAATGAAATAAGATAATTCCGAAGGTTCATAATTTCTAATTGAATCATTTCGAAATTATGAACTTTCGGTAAAAATGATGATACGTACTTCATTTTCGGATTTACAAATCCTACTATTTTCTGAATAGCGAACCATAATTCATTTACGAAATTATGAACCATCTATTAAATGAAACTTCAGAAAAACGAAACTTCGGAAAAACGAATGACTCAAAACGGGCCAATCAAATTGATTTAAATGATGTTACAATATCTATTCTATTCAATAACAGAAAAAAGAAAGCATATTTAGTACACGAAACTTAAGAAACAGTCGAAAATACAAGTAGTGCAGCGGCTTAGCAAGAAAATTGTGCACTTTTTGATAAAAGCATGAAACTTCTAGCATAGTTAGTTTAGACCATACGATTTATTTTCAGATGTGGAGGGAAGTCAGATTTGACCTCTGATGACCCTGAGAGGTCAAATCCAAAATGGCCGCCAGTCCGTATGGTCTAATGTACAAACACGCTTAACTTTTGAACCAAATAGTCCAGAAAAATGTTTAAGGTGTCATTTCCAACTAACTTGGGGATGCCAATTCATTTGGTAATACTTTTGAGATCGCCTGAACTCAGGGTTTTGCATTTAGGTCAAGGTCAAGGTCAAAATTGACTTAAAATAGCAAGTTTAGAATGGTTACAAATGAGATTTGTCATTTGTTCTCAAATTTCTTTAGGAATGGTTCCCCTGCATAGTCCTCCACCTTAATCCTTTTCAGGTAGTTTATTTCACATTTAGTTTTGACCTCTGATGACCCTGAAAGGTCAAATCCAAAATGGCCGCCAGTCCGCATGGTCTAATGTACAAACGCAGTAACTTTTGAACCAAATAGTCCAGAAAAACGTTTAAGGTGTCATTTCCAACTAAGTTGGGGATGCCAATTCATTTGGTAATACTTTTGAGATCGCCAGAACTCAGGGTGTTGCATTTAGGTCACGGTCAAGGTCAAAATTTACCAAATATAACAAGTTTTGAATGGTTACTAAAGGTTAAATCCCCATTTTGTTCTCCCCTATGTTCTCAAATTTATTAAGGAATGGTTCCCCTGCAGAGTCCTCCACCTTAACCCTTTTCAGTTAGTTTATTTCACAGTTTGATGTGACCTCCGATGACCATGAGAGGTCAAATCCAAAATGGCCGCCAGGCCGCATGGCCAATGTACAAACGTGGTAAGTTTTGAACCAAATACCCAGATAACAATACGGCGTTGGGCCAACGTCGGCCACGGTCGGCAGGGTCGCAGTCGGCAAGCCAACGTTGGCTAATTGTTGGGCCATCGTCGCCATTTTTTACTGATAAATGGTGGCTATTGGTTGGCTCATTCGACGTTGGGCCAATGTTGGCTGAACGTTGGTCCATTGTCGCCATTTTCACTGATAAATGGTGGCTTTTGGTTGGCTATTCGACGTTGGGCCAATGTTGGCTGAACGTTGGTCCATTGTCGCCATTTTCACTGATAAATGGTGGCTATTGGTTGGCTATTCGACGTTGGGCCAATGTTGGCTGAACGTTGGTCCATTGTCGCCATTTTCACTGATAAATGGTGGCTTTTGGTTGGCTATTCGACGTTGGGCTATTGTTGGTTTAATGTTGGTCCATTGTCGCCATTTTCACTGATAAATGGTGGCTTTGGGTTGGCTATTCGACGTTGGGCCAATGTTGGCTAAATGTTGGTCCATCGTCTCAATTATCACTGATAAATATTGGCTATTGGTTGGCTATTCGACGTTGGGCTAACGTTGGCTCATTGTCGCCATTTTCACTGATAAATGGTGGCTTTTGGTTGGCTATTCGACGTTGGGCTATTGTTGGTTTAATGTTGGTCCATTGTCGCCATTTTCACTGATAAATGGTGTCTTTGGGTTGGTTATTCGACGTTGGGCCAATGTTGGCTAAATGTTGGTCCATCGTCTCAATTATCACTGATAAATATTGGCTATTGGTTGGCTATTCGACGTTGGGCTAACGTTGGCTCATTGTCGCCATTTTCACTGATAAATGTTGGCTTTTGGTTGGCTATTCGACGTTGGGCCAATGTTGGCTGAACGTTGGTCCATTGTCGCCATTTTCACTGATAAATGGTGGCTATTGGTTGGCTATTCGACGTTGGGCCAATGTTGGCTGAACGTTAATCCATTGTCGCCATTTTCACTGATAAATGGTGGATATTGGTTGGCTATTCGACGTTGGGCCAATGTTGGCTGAACGTTGGTCCATTGTCACTATTTTTTACTTATAAATGGTGGCTATTGGTTGGCTATTCGACGTTGGGCTAAAGTTGGCTCAACGTTGGTCCATTGTTGCCATTTTCACTGATAAATGGTGGCTATTGGTTGGCTATTCGACGTTGGGCCAATGTTGGCTGAACGTTGGTCCATCGTCTCAATTATTACTGATAAATTGTGGCTGTTAATTGGCTATTCGACGTTTGGCTATTAACGTTGGCTCAATGTTGGTCCATCGTTTCAAATTTTACTGAGAAATGGTGGATATATGTTGGCTAATATACGCGACGTTGGGCCAACCCGGGGGCCAACCTTGGCTTAACGTTGGTCTTTATCGTCTCCATCTTTACTGATAAATAGTGCATGTATATATTGGTTGGCTATATGACGTTGGGCCAACGTAGCAAATACGACCTAGTACCGCTACATCCGGGTAAAAAAATTGCATGCGTGCGCATGCCCATGTGCTCATATCCTGTCCATTTGTCTGGATCAGTTGCCGGGGAGTACCAACACTGCATGGTAAATGAATGATTTTCTTTCTCTTTCAACGTTATTTTTGTGAGCATGTCGCGTGAAACTGATAAATTGTATAGTGTGAGAACTCCCCGTCACAAAGCTAGGGAAATAGCATGAGAAATTGTTAAAGTAATCATTGATAATTCCCTGTCCAAATGAAAGTGAAAGTGAGTATACGAGCTAGTGTACCGCTCGGCGTACGCTATTAGCATGCACACCCGCTGCGTGCAATTGAAGTGTGAGTGATGGCTATGATGGCTATGATGGGGGCCGAAGTGTCGGCATCAGATGCATCGAGTGTTTGCCGTGATAAATGTTAATATATGTTCCTGACTTAGAGTTAGACCTAGGTGATGTATTGATGCATCATGTTGCAGCGTCCGTGACAGTGATGATGTTCATCCCAATATGCAATATCGACCATGAATCAAATGATTGTGAATCTGTTGGTGTTACAAGTGTTGAATGAAGGTGCTGATGCATTGTTGGAAAGACCAGTTGAATCAAATAGAGCTGAATGGGAAGACGCATCATTTTTTTATGCATATCTAAATGATATTATAGTCTCTGATACTTTCAGATTTAGAAGTAGGTCTATACTATACTCTGTAGTAGCTCAATATATGCTGATGATGATTCAGTTCGAAAAGGAATAAATTACGAGATTGAGCTGTGAATTAAGATATCCCGCTAGTACATGTTTCTAGCCTCCTGAAATCTTACAAGGGTGCCAAGTCTGCCAAAATATGCAAGAACTTTGTATCAACACATTTAGTGGATTGTGAGTGTGATGTGAAAGAGGTAGCTGGTGGGAATTACCCTCATTTTGGCATTTGCAATCATTTAAGTCGCAATTGGCCAAGAACCTCAATTTGATCAAATAGTAAATAGGAAAAACTATTGAGGGCGGGGGTAACAATGATCGATCCCATAATTTTCATTCACAATTTTCATTCACAAATTTGATTATTGCTGCATTTTTATTCTCATTTTCAAATTAGTTTTTATTGTTTATGCACATGTAGAATTGCTATAATTTGAACTGAAGGTAAATATTCTAATTATTTATTTTTAAAATTCTGACGTTCTTTATTAATACATTCAATTCTATATAGCTCTTCCAAATCCCAATACTTTTTTCTCCCATAATCCCTACAATTCTGAAATTTAAATATTAAATCCTGCATTTCATATCGTCAACTTCACAACAAATTCCAGATTCCTCTACCCGTTCAGATCCAGCTACCCCTACCTCGATCATCCAGAACAGCATCAACAGCACCAAGGACCCCTTCGACATCGACCCCATCAACCTCCAGAACACTGTCGACCCCAACGACCCCATTGACCTCAACGTTCAGAAATATGGGTATGTCATTTGGCATTTTATTCATTTTGTATTTAGTTATACATGTAGACAGGATAGCACTTCTTAGTATTCGTTATAGTTGTGCCCTGCACACAAAGTACAAATGTACTGGATTAATGTGCGTTTATGTAGGACATAGCTGCTAACGGATGCTAGAATCTTTTTCCTGATTATATTGAGAAACTGCATTGTGATCACTTACAAAACTATTCAACAACAACAAATCATGAAATACCGCTTATAGCAGTATTTTTTTGGAAACAATTCTGAATGCAGGGTGCCACAAAAAACAAAACACAGTCAATTGATTTGTTTCTTGTATCAGCAACTAACGATATAGCTTTGTGTTTTTGTTTCTACTTTGAAGCCCCTCGAGCTCTCTCAAGTATTGGGAGCTTGCATAAATACAAAAA